GCCATACTTCGGGCGATTCCGCAAGTAAGGCGGAAATCCCCACCCTTCTTTCCAAGCTCCTATGATGTTGATTTGCGCCCTACTTTGCCGTGTCGTCGCTGCTTCCGCCACATCCTTGCGCAAATATCCGCCCTACTTCTGTGAAGCGGACACTTCCGCCCTACTTTTCCACACCGTCTGGGGTGCATTTCTGACACGATCTCAAATCCGAGAATCAACCAAAATACGGCGGATCTGCCAGGGCGAATCATTACATGACCGGTCCCCTCCTCCCTCCCCCCCTCGGGGTTACGCTCGTTATCGCGAGGGGGGGGGGAAACTGTTCCCAAGGGGCCCCTTTATCAGGGCGCGAACAAAACAGTGTTTTCTGTTTTTGTGTTATTCTCGTTTCCATCGTTTTTTCTTCGTTCTGCCTCTGCTGTAGAACGAGATGAGATCGAAAACGGCCCACGAAATCGCCAAACAACAACCTAACTCGCGCCCTTCCCCTTTTGCTAGGACGGGAATCATCGAATAACGGGACTTCCAGGAGCATCTAGCCGCCCTCTCTTCTCTGCAGCCAGTGTGGAACGTGACTGAGTTCCGGGGGGCACCCTGGAAATCCTGGAGCGCCCTGAACGTATCGCTACCATGACCTCGTGCTCCTCTGACCATTGCCCCCCGACCGCGCGCCGCCGCAGGCCTCTCCGCTGCCGCGCGAGCCGGCGGCCACCCAGCCCGGCGCAGGCGCGCGCCCCGAGGCGGCCGCCGGGGCGGCCGCCTCCCGCGGGGCGCGGCTGGCGGGGCAGGCGGCGCAGGTGCAGCAGATGGGGCAGATGGCGGCGCCGCAGCACGGGCACCTGGGACGAGAATGACGACGTGGGTACTCCAGATGTCGTAATAAAAGAGAGGGGGTCACAATCCTCCCAGACCACAAGTTTTAGACCCCCCCAGACCATCAATGAAAGGGCGGCACTTTGCCCAGACCCCCCCTAACCCTTCAAGACAGCTCAAAACAGACCCCCCGCCAAATGTACCCCCCCCTACTTTATTATGGAATCCGGAGTACAGGTTTCCATACTAGGAAACACATCGCAAAGGGGCGCCCAGGACGATACGGATGATGTCGTCATCGCGTGGGGCAACTTTTCACACGTAAGCAACAACAGCACGGGCACCTGGGATGAGAATACTGTTATCATGACCACGTGGGTACAAGTTTTCCATGTTTGAAAACATCACCGCTGGCACGTGTGACGCTAATGCGGATGTCACCATAAAGTGGCACATGAAGAACCATCATCACGGGCACCTGCGATGAGAAGCAAGGTGGCATGACCGTGGGCATGCGTTTTCATGCTGCAGAACATCACCACGGGCACCTCTGACGAACATGACTATGTCATGATCACGTGGGTACACGTTTTTTTTTTTTTTTTTTTTTTTTTTTTTTTTTTTTTTTTTTTTTTTTTTTTTTTTTTTTTTTTTTTTTTTTTTTTTTTTTTTTTTTTAAAAAAAAAAAAAAAAAAAAAAAAAACTACCATAGGCGCCTCGGACGATAGTCATGATGCCATCACCACGTGCGTACAACACTAAACGCCATCAGCACGGTCACATGGGAGGATCGTGAAGATGTCATGACCAAGGTGACAGTTTTTCATTATTGAAAACATCAGCACGGGCACTTGGGACGACAATGGCAATGTCACGATCACGTGGATACAAGGCCTTCACCTGGGACGATAATGATGATGCCATGATCACGTGGGTACAAGTTTCTTCATACAACAACAGCACGGGCACCTAGGACAAGTCCCATGTTCGATCTCCTGGAGCCTCAGCCCTCAATCCTAAGGAGCATTCACTTGTCCTAGGCCCGAAATTACCAAATCTTCTGGGGCTTGGCACCTGCTGGGGCGTGTTGTCGCATGACTTGTTCGAGCCCAAGACGGCCCCAAGACGGGCGAAGAGGGCCGCAAGAGGCCCCCGAGACAATCTAAGAGGGCCTCGAATAGTCGAACGATCGGTTCAAGACGCCCAAGATGGCTCCAAGACGGCCCAAGAGGCCGCCAAGATGCCCCAAGAGAGCTGCAAGAACACTCCCCAGAGGACCCTTGGAGGCAAACATCATTGATTGTCCTTAGGTGTTTGGTAGATTCTGGCGTTCTCGCCTTTTTAGCTTCCCGACGCTCCAGGACGGCACAATAGGCCCCGCCCCAAGAGACCTCCAAGAGGGCCCCCAAACGGCCCAAGAAGCACCCGAAACAGCTCCAAGGGGGGGGCCCAGGCGGGGGACCCGAACGGACATTTCGAGCCTTCGGCCTCGAAAGGCCCACAGAAGGCCCCAAGACGCCCTCCAAAGGCCTACAAGAGGCCCCAAGACGCTCCCAAGAGGACCCCAGGAAGCCCCAAGAGGCCCCCAAGATGCTCCCAAGAGGCCCCGAAACTGCCTCCATGATGCTCTCGAGGGCGCTCCGAAGAGACCTAAACAAGCATCCCTGAAGACTCTGACCCACAAGTCATGCACGGTGGCCAGATGGGCCGAAGGCAATTAGATCCGCCGCCCCCTGTTGATTCATCACAGGGGTGCCCGACGTGCTGAACCCTTTCGGTTTTGGATTTGGTTCTTTTCCAAACGAACTCCCCCTGGGGATTCGGCGCGTCCCGCCTTCGGGTCCAAGACGACAGGACATCTGCACAACGCCGCCTCCAAGGCGGCCAAGATGACCCAAGATGAGCCAAGATGGCCCCAAGATGTTTCCAAGACGGCCCAAGACGCCCCCAAGATGGCCACAAAAGGCCACAGATGGCCTCAAGATGGCCCAATACGGCCCAAGAGGCCCCCAAGACGGCCGAATAGACCTCCAAGAGGGACCTCCAGGAAAGCCCGAATAGGTAAACATCATTGATTTTCAATTGGGTTTTGACGGATTCTGGCGTTTGCTCATTTTCGGCTTTCCGACGGCCCACGACAGCCCAAGAGGCTCCCAAGATGTCCCGAAGAGCGTCCAAGAAACCTCCAAGATGACTCCCTGACGACCCAAGAGGTCCCCAATACGGCCCCAAGAGGGCCCCAAGACGGCCCAAGAGACCTCCAAAGCGCTCAAGATGGCCTCTAAGACGGCCCTGCAGCGCGCTAAGAAGGCCCCACGTCGGCCTAGGGAAGCCCCCTACACGGCTTCCGACGGCGTCAAACACGTCAGGAGCGCCCAAGACGAAGGAACATGGCACAAGACGGCCTCAAGAAGGTCCCAAGACGGCCCAAGAGGCCCCCAAGGCGCCCAAGATGGCCCCCACGACGGCCAAGATGGCCTCCAAGATGCCTCCAAAACGGCCAAGAAGGCCTCCAAGACAGCGAAGATGGCCCCATGATGCACTCGAGACGGCCCCTAATGGCCTGAAGATGGCCTTCGACTGCCCAAAAGACCCGCCAAGGGCCTCCCAGACGGCCCAAGACCCATCCAAAACGTCCTCCAAGAGGCCCGAAAGCTCGGAAACCACCTGGTCCGATAACTCGCCCGACTCGGTGTTTCCCGAAGGCTTTCGAACACACACTCGGGGAGCGCGTGGCCCGATAGCTTGGCCAAGCTCAAACCCAACTTTCGGCCACGCAGGCGCTTCCAAAAAGGCAGGGGGCGGCGGTGATTCGCCGTAGGCGTCTTCGATAATGAACGTTCGAGCGGCCCAAGATCGCCTGAGGTACGTGTTTGCACATCGCGCGAATAGTAGAAGGTAGAAGGCGGCGAAACGAGGCGAACATCGCACCGAAGGGTGAATGACGACAAATCTTTCGCCGCTGGGAGCACTTTTCACCCGTCGAGAGAAAGAGAGCGAGAGAGAGAGAGGAAATTCAGGATAATCTAGCGGCCCCCGTCTCTGGAGCCCGTGCGAAGCAACATGAGATCTTGAAGTCCTGGAGACCTTGACAATGCTGCAACGCATCATCTGCCTATCCTGGAATCAATTATCATCGACACGGTGGGGGGCGGTCGTTAAGGAGTGTGCCCAGGAGGCGTCGGACCTTGGAGGGCTCCTCGTCTCATGGGGGGCGGCGGTGCTACCCATGGCCAAACCCCAGTGGAGTTGCACCATCTTCCAGATCCTAGATTCCCTATCCCACGGTTCCTGATCCAATGCCCTCACCGTGCGGAATCAATTATGAAGGGGAACTGGGACACACAAACAAATAAACACAAATAACCATATTCCCAATCTTTGCCCATATTTTCTGGGTTTCTGTCTTCCCCACCACTTCCCATCTTTTCCATATCTTCTGGGGAATCGACGATTCATTGTGTCCGTGTGTTTTTTCCCCTCCTGAAACCAACATGCCTTCCTGCTCCGCCGATGCACCCCACGCGTGGCGGCTTCGGGGCCCTGGCCCGCGGGGGGGGGGCACAGCTGGGGCCCCGGCCGCTCGTGCTCCCGCTGCTGCCCTGCGCTGCTTGCCCTCCACTCCTCCCCTCGGCCCGCCAGGCCAAGCCCTGGGCTCCCTTCGAGTCTTCGAGCACTCCGGGGGGCCAAAAATGGGCCTGCGTGCGCAAGGCGTGCGTGTGGGGTCGCTTCGAGTCTTCGAACACTCCGGGGGGGCCAAAAATGGGCCTGCGGGCGCAAGGCGTGCGTGTGGGGTCGCCCACGGGCGTGGTCTGGATGTGGTTGTGCTTCGACTCTGAAGTGGTCCTCTCGGGTGTGGCCGTGCTGGGTCTGTTCTTCTTTTGGGTATGCCCGGACGAACTTCGAGCGGTGGTGGCTTTCAGAGAGCAAGTGGTGGACCCCAGCCGAGGAGGAGCAGCCGAGGAGGAGAAAGAGGAGGAGGAGGAGGAGGAGGAGGAGGAGGAGGAGGAGGAGGAGGAGGGGGGAGGAGGAAGAGGAGGAGGAGGGGGAGGAGGAAGAGGAAAAAGAGGAGGAGGAGGTGGGAAAGTGGGAGGAGGAGGAGGAGGAGGTGGGGGAGGAGGAGGAGGAGGAGGAGGAGGAGGGAGGAGGAGGAGGAGGGGGGAGAAGGAGGAGGAGGAGGAGAGGAGGAGGAGGAGGGAGGAGGAGGAGGAGAAAGAGGAGGGAGGAGGAGGCGCCGCCCCATCGCCGCGGGCTGGCAGCGCCGCAGGCACCCTTCGCAGCTCACGCCCCGCCCCGCCCCCGCTGCCGCGGGCCGCGCTGTGCCCGCCGCGCTGGGCCGCGGGGCGGCGGGGGCCTCCGCCGGCGCCTCGGGGCGCCGCGCCGCGGGCGGCGGCGGCGGCGCCGCGGGCGGTGGCCGCCCGGCGGCGGCGCGCCGCACGGCGTCGTACCTGCCGCGGGTGTGCGGGCCGGACAGCACCTCGTAGGCCTCGGGGAAGAGGGCCCCGAGCAACCTGGCGTTGCGGTGCTCTCGCCACGGGCGTGTTGTCGCTCAGCTCGGGGCCCTGGGGCCCCTCTGGGGCGATCCGGCGCGAAAAAGAGGGCGCAACAGTGTGGGGTCTGGAGCTCTGGACGTGCCTGCTCGCGGTGCTGCGGTTTTTTTGGCAACGTCAGGTCATAGGGAAGGGAGGCCCGGACAACCTCGAAGCGTGGGCAAATTCAAGACAAGGAGGTTGCTGACAAATGTCGGCCTCTCGGGGCCCTTCTCTCTTCCCGGACCCAGGGGCCGTGAGGAGACGGCTCGGGATTACAAGGCTGTCCAAGGGGGGAATCTGTAACTAGACCTTCGGGGGTCTGCGTCGTGAAAAATTAGCCTGGCGAAAGACCAAACCATATGCAGTTGTGAATACAGCAATTGTGCTGGGTGGTGGCGGACGCATGCGGGCGGTG